CCAGTAACTAATTTACTCTTCCTCCATATCTGCCGAGTTTGCTCAGGAGCCTTTGATGCTGGCCTTTGTCAAAATCCCTTTGGAAGTCCAACTAAACAATGTCTAGCAGATCACCCTGCCCACATATTTAACGACACTCTAAAAGGCTACCTTTATGGAAGCCATATTAATACTTTCTATGCACTTATTAATTTTCTCTTTAATAATGCTTTCAACCAATTTACCCAGAACAGATACTGGATTAACTGGTTTCTATTTTTGCTGGATTCCCTTTGAATCCACTTTTTTTTTTTTTAAACTAGTGTCACATTGGCCATTCTCCAGGGAAATGTTGTATATTTTTGGTACATGGATATAGTCTGGGCTTGGTGATTTATTAACTTTCAATTTGTCAATAAGATTGAGAATGTCTTTTTTGTCAGCACTTCAGTTCCTCAGGCACAGCCATCTGCCCTCTATCTTCTGCAGTGCAGACACAGGAAAATAGTTTAGTTTCTCCTCAGTCTCCTTATCCTCCTGTAACTCCATTTTTATCCAATGCTCTCACTTCCTCCCTGCTCCTGATATACTTAAAGAATTACTTATTATTGGCTTTTGTCTACAATGTGCTCCTTAAAATGCTTTTTTGCATCCCTTTTGTCTGCTTGCATCTGCTTTGTACAAGATTGTGCTGCTTTTGTTTTTCCTCATTTGGGCAAGAGTTGCTTGTTAACCATGTTAGTGAGCTCTTGGAATTGGTGTCTTGCCTAATCTACGGTATATATTCTATCTGGGCTTCTGTTTTTGTGGCTTTCAGTAACCTCCAAGCATTTTGAACAGATTTAATCCTCTTCAACTTCCTTAGTTCCTTAATTTTATAAACTAAAAAGACTAAATTAGTTCTGGAGTGCAGCATTATTCCCCACTAGCACTTCTGTTGATGAATCTGCCCTTTTTCAGTTTTCTGGTCTGCGTCACACTGTCCTCTAAGATGCCTTTCTCCAGTACACCCCTCCGTGTCCTTCCTATAGAGTTGGCAGAGATGGCCACATCCTGTGGGTTCTCCTCATTCCTCTAGGCTTCTGTAACACTATCTATATTTAGGTTCTTTAGAATTAGGTATTCTCCTATTTTGGTGTGGACCCCTTCCAGCATTTGCATGGTCTCTGTCCCCAGAGATCTCTTCTGCTATGGCATGTTTCACCAGATGCTTGTGGCCTATTTCCTCCTCTCCTACATAAGGGCAAGCAGAAACATTTTCATTTTTATCCTCTCAGGATGAAAATGAAGTGGATATTTCGCCTTTCCTGCTGGCTTTGACTTAAGAGCTGCTCTGCTCCCTTTTTATGTTTCACCAGCAGTCCGTTGGCTCAAGTGGAACCTGTCCCTCTTGGACAGACCCAGCCGGTCTCAAAATGTTCCCTCAAGCCTTGCCGATGTGAGCCTCTTTCCTGTACCTTGCACTGAGACTCCTCAACTTCGCTTGTTTAGCCAGCCCTGCATACAGAACAGGTAGCATTTTGGAGAAAGCCACTCTGCGCTAGGCTCTGGATTTCAGCCTTCCATTTGGCAACCTAAATGTGGCTTCCAGAATCCCAGGACTACCTTCCCCACATCACTGGTACCAACATGGGCCAGGACTATTCTCCACAGCACGTTTTCCAAGGTATTTGTTGAGATGTGACAGCTGCATACGGACACCAAGCAGACAATTTACCATGCAGTCTATACATCTCTGTGTTTAATGATCCCATCTCCCACCCCTACAAGCCCTCAATGCCCCAGAGGCACCTCCCCAGTTCATCTTCCACAAAATGGGTTTCCTTGGATGCTTCTCTGAAGGATTCATTGGTCTGTTCCTCAGAATGAGTGAAGAAGACTTGCCAGTCTCCTGAAAGAACTGGGTGGTCTCAGGCAGCTGGGGGCCTCTCGCTGAATCGGTCTAGAAGAGTGGTGGGCAGGCTTGAGGCGAGAGGCTTGCTTTTCATTTTTTACTAGAGCCCTGGAAGCCAGGAGATCTCGATGCAAAAGATGCATACTTTAAATTATGGAATTAGGAGCCCAGGAATCGGTTTGGAGCACCAGAACTCAAGAGAGCTCTGAGCCCTTCCACTCATTCCTCTGGCCTGTACTGCAGCCTCCTCTTTTCAGCAGGATAATTGAAAGTCCTTGCGGTGCTGCTGCTATTTTTAAACCACTCCGCGTCAGAACCCCTTGCTGGCTGATCTGCTGCAGAAGTACCCAGAGATGTGCAAGTCCACCCTCCTCCAGTCCCTGCTGCACAGTGTGGGTGGTGGGACCGGCAGCTCTGAGGCAGGGCTCACCTTTCCTCCCCCAGCGTGACCAAAAGCCACACAGGCACGTCTCCTGCACGAGCCCAGGCAAACCATTTTCGGGAGGGTGGGAAAACAGCAGTGGACTCCTGTTTTCCAACCCTCCCTTTCTAGAACAGCCTTTTAAACTGTTGAAGTCACAGACTAAGTTACCTTCTTGGGGCAGCTGCGCCTTGTGCAAGTTATCAGATGTGGGCAGTGAAAGGTGGTGGTGAGGCCGTCCTTGGGGAGGAGCGTCATTAAGCGCGACCCTGTGGCCATCGCGGGCCTCTGCAGGCCAGATGGAAGCGGCCCGATCGCCCACGCGGAACCCAGCGCTTCCCTTGGGAACGGGTGCTGATTGGCCAGGAGCACTTCCCCTTCACCATAGACTCGGTGCTATTTGCCAAAGCTACATTTTCCACATCGTTCTATTCCAATCGAATGGTACAGGCCTATAAACAGCAACCAGCCTAATTGCCTAGAGTGAGCGCTATAGCAGGACCCTCGTATTCACTGGCTGAATTGCCGTGCTTTCAGTTACCAGGGGTTGACCTCAGCACTAAAGAGAAAACTTGTACAGTGCAGTAACATGCCAGAGAGAAGTCGTAAAGTGCATCCTGTAAGCGAACATTCTTGATTTAATAGGGAAAGGAAAAATGCTAAGGTAAGAAGAAACAAAATTGTGAAAAAGTCGATATTGTTTGCTCTTATCCACAGTTTTAGGCATTTGCTGTGGGACTTGGAGCCAGTCTGCTCAGGTGCAGGGGTGCGCTGTAATTGCTTCCCGGTGATGCCTTTGTATATTGGAAACCAGCTAGTTCTCTCCTCCTTTCAGACCATTTATGCACAATTAGCAATAGGAATATTGCTATTCCTGGACAGTATTTTTTCTTGTGGACTAGTAGCCTTTGTAGACTTGCTGATAGGGCTGAAAAGGCAGTTCCTTCTAAGCATCATCTCTAACCAGGATAGCTGGAGTCTAAACCTCTGACATTTAGATAATAAAATTCCATGAAATATCAGAGGATGCACATTCCTTATGACAGAGAACGCATTAACAGACATCAAGCACATCCCTCAAATGCTCCCCAGACCAGAAGATGACAATTAAAAATGCATGTACTAGTTTTGTTTTGTTTTTAAAGGCAGATGACATTGAGGGACGCATAGCTTTGAAGACTGCAGGGCTTGTACTTGGATAATGCAGTTAGCTTGACATTGGTCTAATGCTGCAGTTCCCCCTGCTGGTAGAAGCCTCTAAGCGGGTGACTCAGTATTTAACAATGCAGAGCAATTTAATAATAGAAAGGAATCGAGAAGCCCACAACTCCATGTTAACAAAATTTCCTGTGAAATGCCAGTCAAAGCTTGGAAAATAACATTCATGCTGGTAAATTGCCAATCTCTACTTTTAAAGCTATCACGACCTTTTCAAGAAACAAAAGCTTGACTTTTGAGGTCCAGGCAGTTGCCTGCATTTGCAGGACAAAGCTACAGGGATTTTGGAGTTCAGGAAGCTAGGCCACCCTTCACAGAGAGACCCGTGTTGCACTTGGCATAAAACCAAGTCTGCATATAACAAGCCTATGCATGCTTAGGCGTTGGGAGGATCCATGAAGCTCATGTAGGGAGAAAAATAGGCTCAGATCCTTTGAGAAGAGTTTGATTTCAAGGATGTCAGCGACAGATGAACTGCTAGAAGAAAGCAACCAAGCTCCACTGCAGCATGACGCTTTGCACGAGGCACTTTCCTGTCTGTTTAATCCATTTCCAGTTTGAATGGCCAAGCTTAAACTGGAGCAGCTCAGTGCTCCTCTGCTAGGCAAAAGCAGACTATCAGTTCCAACATGAACCCAAACTCTGAACACCTAGGCTTCCCAGGGAAGGCTCCATCATATTTTATTATTTATTTATTAAATCATTTCTATGCTGCCCTTTGCCGAAGCCTCGGGGCGGCCTACAACACAATAAAATACAATAAAATACAAAAATAACAATATAAAATTAACAATATAAAATAAATAACAATGTAAAAGAAATAACATATCCCTCTTAAATGGCCTGACCCAGCTTTGTCACCACCAAGTGTCCAAGTCGATTTGGCTGTAGAATGCTGTGCTACTAGACTTCACTCCATGAGTGAGCGAGCGAGCGAGCTTTGGGCTATTTTCAAATTTATCAGATCATTCATAACTAAGTGCGGTGTCTTGCTCTTTCTCTCTTTTCGCCATTCACCTGATTTTCATCATACCCTTTCTCACAGGAGCTCAGGCCTGGGTATCTGGTTTTGTCCTTTCCCTTTGGAGCAACCCTGTGAGGTGGGTAGGTCTGGAAAGAATCGGGCAGTGTGTGATTGGCCCAAGGTCACCCAGTAAGGATTTGAACCCAAGTTTCTTCCCTGTCTCTGCAATTAACTGTTTAACACACATGCCCCTTTACCCCTTTCTCTTACTTTTTGGCCCGCTCACTGCAGTTGGACCTGTGTGTCAGCCAGAATTCGCTGTGCCTCCCCCGACTTCAGTGCCTCCCCATGGCTGTGCCCGCTGGATTACTCAACTGGCCAGGCAGATGATGAGGGCTGGAGATCACCTTGGGGAAGCCAGGTGGCAAGCCAGAGGGCGTTGCCTGTACCGTTTGCTCAGGAGTGGCTGCAGCAGGACTCCACCCTATTAATGCATCAACCCTTTTTTCCTGGTTTTGGTACAGGAGGAAAACAAAGATTTTGTCCCCAGTTCCAGAAGAAAACCATTTGGCTCCTTTGAGCAGCTCAGCTCAACTGACACACCGAGAAGGCGGCTGGAGACCAAGCCAGAACCCCCTCGCCAGCCGCTGGGCAGCAGGACTGAGGAACGGAGGCGCTGGTCCAAGGGCTGCTCCGAAGACAACTGAGCAGCCCAGGGCGAGGTGAGTTCACACATCGCTGCTCGCGCGGGATCCTTTTCCCTCTGTCCTTTCCTGAGAAGCATAAATTCAGGCAGTGAGCAGAGTACATGGTGAGGTCCCTACTTATATGTGTACTTAGCAGTCACACCCAGTTAAACACCCCCAGATTAAAATGCATTGTTTATTAGATGTATTTCCTGCTTTTTTCTTATGAATTCAAAGTGGCTTACACCCTCCTCTTCCTTCTGCCCCACAACAACCACCCTGTGAGGTAGGTTGGACTAAGCATCTGTGACTGGCCCAAGGCTACCCAGTTGGCTCTGTGGCCAAGCAGGGACTAGAACCCAGATCGCCGGAGTCCCGGCCCCTCGCTCTTAGCCACTACACCACACTGGCTCTCACATCCGGCTTTCAACCCATGATCTGGTCATTTTGCCTTCAGGGGAGTTTGATGCATCTTGTCCCCATTTAGGCAATAATAAAACGCTTCCTATAGTCATCCACACAGGGACTGCAGGTGGCGCAGTGGTTTAAACTGCTGTGTTGCTGGGCTGGTTGATCGAAAGGTTGCCGGTTCAAATCTGCGCAACGGGGTGAGCTCCTGTACTCTGTCCCAGCTCCTGCCAACCTTGCAGTTCAAAAGCATGCAAATGCAAGTACAGATAAAGGTACCACTTCGGTGGGCAGGTAACAGCGTTCTGTGCACCTCGGTGTTTAGTCATGCCGGCCACATGACCACGGAGACTGTCTGCAGACAGACGCTGGCTCCCTCGGCTAGGAAACGGAGATGAGCACCGCCCCCAAGAGTCAGGCATGCCTGGACTTAATGTCAAGGGGAAACCTTAACCTTTATAGTCATCCACAACTTCCTGTTTACTTATTTTTTTCCCAACTGGTTCTTTTTGACACAGCCTGTTTGGAGGTGGGTGGGGGGGGCAGGGGGAAATCAATGCTGAGCCAGGACTAAATCCCCACTCATCCATGTTTGCTGGGTGACCTTCGGCCAATCACATTCTCTGAGCCTGGTCAATCTCACAGGGTTGTTGTGAAGATTAATGCTGCATTGCACTTCCTTGAGGAAGGGTGGGATGAAAACAGACAACGCAGCAGAAGGGTTCTCCTTTCCTGCCCTAGCTGGGTGAAAATGGTGCTTAGCAATTTTAAATCATGGGTACGGAGTCATAGTGCATGTGCCCCCCAGGTTGGCGAAAGCTGGCTAGGACTGGTGGGCGTTGTGTCCAGCACGCCTGGAGGGCCTCTGGCAGAAGACATCTGCCTTCCAGTGCAGGATTACCAACACTGGTCAGCTGTCGTAGCCGAGTAGTTCACAGGATGCCTCTGGAGCAGTGGGGACTTGCTTGTGGCCCTGGAATTATTCGGGAAACCGATCCTTGTGGGAAATGGATGGATCTTTGGCCTTGTCCAGCAAGTCCGTTCTGATCCAGTGACCCTCGTTATCTGTGCCTTTCACCGCAAACACAGGCACTGCTCTGCCAGAGTCACTTCCTCTGGCTCGCTTCATTGGTGGAACCCCAAATGTGAATCCACTGGCAGGGAAGAAGTGTGGAACCCCCAGCATCCAGACCGAGCAGGAAAGGAGATGCTGAGGTGCGGGACGGCGGTGGTCATCTGTGCAAGAGGGGGAGTTGTCCAAGCGTGCAGTGCCTGAAGCGGTTGCTCCTCTCTCCCCTCCAGGATCTTTCCCAGCCCAGTTGCATGACCTCCAGAAGTGACGCTCCATCCTCCTCCCTACACTGGCATTCCGTGCAGGCAGCCCACCACCGGGACATGCACTGTGCCTGACTTTTAACCCCTTCAGTGCTCAAGGCTCCTCGTCCCCATTCCCCCCAGTCCTGGGTGGACATGTTGCGTTTTGCTTTTAAAGGTGGCTTTGCGTTTTCCTTCTCCTCACAGAGGAGGTCGCAGAGACGTTGCTCAGGGGAATCCCAACCACAGTTTCGCCAAGCTTGAATCAACGGTAGCGACCAGCTGCATCTCTGCGGAGGCATCCAAGAACTTTGGATCCTTGCGCCCATGTTCTGCCCTGTCATTTCCTAGAGAGGCGAGAGGAGCGGGTGGGGAGTGATCCCCACCAAGGGACAGCAATACCCAATCTCTGTATAGGACCCCCGAGTAGCTCAGTCTCTGTGGAAGTCACAAAGAGGCAACTCGCAGCTCTCTCTTGCTCCCCGTGGAGTTTTGGCTCCCTGAAAGTGGTTTGCACAGCCTGGGGGTCACCAGGCCTAGCACCAGAAGCACTCCCTGTGCAGTAGCTCCATCCCTCCCTGCCTGCCTGCCCTGCCGGGGCTCGACCGCTCTTGGGAAAGCTTTTGCCTGAGCCCAGCACACAGGCAGCAAGCTGCAGTGCCTCCTGTGTGCACCCACCTGCCACTCCGTAGACCAGATGCCGGGGAAGCAGCCTTCTCCTCCTCTGCCCCCCAAGAAGAGCCCTGCAGGGTCAGACCAGGCCCAGCATTTTGTCTGTCTGCACCTGCCCCTTGCTCCGGTGCTTGCTTGCTTGCTTCCTTCCATGCCTGCAAGCCACACTCGGCTTCGTGGGCGCCATGGCTCACTGGATCCAGATGCGTGAACTCCGGCTGGGATGAATCCGGCTGCGTGAAGAAGCCTCACCACCTCCTCCGATGGCCACGCAAGTCTGAAGAGGGAGCGGGCTGAGCAGTCTTGTCTGCTTGGGGACGGGCGTGTGGCAAACATGCATTACTTGAACTCACAGCGGGAGGTCTGCATGTGGACATGTCGCTCCTGACAGCCAGGGGGGAAGAAGAGTCTCCTGGGGCCAGCCTCTCGGCACAGCTGGAGGTGGGGGCTGGAACGACATTCCTGTATTTCTGCTACCTCACTCTTCACTGCTTGGGCAAAGGGACCAGCAGAGACTCTACCGGAGCCATGGCGACTGCCCTTTTCTCCATTCGGGTCAGCGTGTGAACCTGGAAGCCACTGTTGCCCCGGCAGCTCAGATGCTGCTGTGCTGTCAGCCGTTTTGCCCCACCTCACCCATTCTGCACCCAAGAGGCTGCCAACGCATGAGCCGCTGCCCCTTTTGGAGCGCCTGCACGTCACATGTCGATGTGCCATACACGTAAATTCACAGCAACGAAAAGCACTGGCTGTTGAGATATGGAAGAATCCTCTGGAGTATTAAATCTCTGGGACTCAGTTCACACAGGCAAGCCACTGGAGGCTTGGGCAACAGCGAGCAGTAACCGTGTCAGTTGAAAGGGCCCTGGATGATGGGAGAGAACCACCCATCAGCCTAGCAGGCACGTGCTGGCCAGAGAATGGGAACCTTTCTGTGCCTGGCTGCTACTGGGGATTTGCAGGGGAAGATGAGCAAGCAGGAGGGAGAGGTGCTGGGGCTCTTTTCCCCTGCCACCTATAATTGCACCATTATCCCACCCCACAGCCCGGGCCACCACAAGCAAGCAAACATCAGGAGAATTTTTACTCTCTGGCTCTTTAGCTGGGAGAAGCATGAGATGGAAGGTAGGTAGGTTAAGCACTCCTCCATCGCGTCTTCCTTGCAAAAAAACCTTGTCTCTCCACACTCACATTGGCATTAGGAAGCAAACACAGGATTGGGAGCCCTTCTCGTCTCATGTAAGTCTCACTCTGCTCCAAGACTTGCCTTTAATGTCTGTTTTAATGTTAGAACTTGAAAAACTTTTCTTGTAATCCCAGAGCCATAGCAAGGACTTTGGATTCCCCCAGATCTGCTGCCAGTCTATTGGCTTCCCTTGTCATTCTTCTCAGGAAGAGAGCAATTGTGTGTGCACAGTTTGACTCTGAGTAGTCAAAGCCATAGCACCAGCTTCTCTGCAGGGAGCAAATTGTGTGTGCATCCTTTTACCCCTCTCCTGCTCTGCCTCCAGTTCATGCCTGGCTTTCATTTGGTATAAGATCTGACAGCCTGGCATAAGGGCACACAGTGTCGATCCTTTTAGAAAAACCTGCCTCTTGCCCTCCTCCCACAAAGGTAAATAAAGCAGACATATGCTAGAGGCAGTTCAGTTGCAAACTCCACAAGCAGTATTGGGAGCAAAATGTTCTTTTTAGTGGAGCCATCTCTGCCCAGCTCACAACTCTCCCCCCCCCCCCCCCACCCCCCCCCCCCCCCCCCCACAACCCTGCCACACACACAGTTAGGTCTGGCCTGTACCTGTTGCAAAGTCAACAGTATAGCCAAGCATTTGGCATTTCAAACCAAGATGATGGCTTAAGAATGAAGCCCAGCATGCGCTGTTACCTTCTGACATTTCAGAAATTGTGAGCAAGGCTTGTCTGTGGCTCCTTCAAAATTTTATGTAGGACAAGTTTTAGAAACCATGTTTACTGATCTCTTTCTTGAACACATGAGGCACAGAATGGTACCTTTTGTTGGACAGGCATGTAAATTTATTTGCAAGCTTCCTGGGATGTCACACTTCAGCCTTTTGACAGTGGAGTGTGGGAGATAGTTTACATGTCCCTGCTTCAGCTATTTAAAGGTACTTTTACCAGTTCTTATCTCTCAGTGGATGTTGAAGGTTATGTACCTTACTTTGTTTTGCTTTTAAACCCTATTGGGAGGGGAGACAAGTTCTGTAACTTAGAAAAGTTATATCTTTCAACTTGGGTGAATGACTCATATTTGCATAAAGTCTTCATCTGTTGTTCCCTAGAAAGGCAAGGGGCTGTGGGGGCTACCAAAGCTGTAATCCATGTCAGCTAATAACTGGCACAAGCAGTTGAGATTATGTAGTTTTGCTGAGTGACTTTTGTACCCAGCTCCACAGCCTTGAGATCTAGAACCTTGCATTTCAGATCTAAAAATTTGACCATGTCTGATTTTTTTTTCACCAACTGATGATTATGTTATAGTGTCCCTTTGCCAGGGCCAACCCATATAGACTACTTGAAGCAAGAGCCATAGCACTCAATTTCATAGATGGGTTGTATGTTTACATAAAGTGCGTGCTCTCTCTCTCTCTCTGTAATAACAGAAATGGGGCAGCTACTTTAAATATACAAACACTGTGTGTGTTAACTGTGCCCAATCCAGTGATGAACAGAGGCTTGTAAATTAATCCAAAGTAAGCTGTGTGCTTTTGCCCCCCCCCCCCACACACTCACTCCACTGTTGACTCAAGAAAGCACTTTAGCACCTGAAATATAACAAGTCGTTCCATTCCTTTCACACTGGAAGCAGCGCTGATGTTAGAACACAGCCTATTCAACAATTCAAGCAAAGCACCACAACTGCATTTGCTGCATTGCTATCCCAGCCGTTCCCTTGCTCAAGTCACAAAGGTCTGATGCACAACCACTAGTTTGTGAGTGCTCCAGCCTAAAACACATTTAGATGAAAATAGTTTCCCTTGGTCTTTGCTTAATAAGTAATTATACTTAGTACTGCAGTCTTAAATGGGTTTTCTCCCCACCAGCTCCTGTTCTTATCTCCATGTTAAAATGGCTGCAATTGTCATTGTGCAATAACACCTCGGAACACTCCGATTTTCTAGTACAGAAGCAGCCCCACATCGAGCCCCACCCAGCTGATTTTTCCATATAGGAAAAATGACGGCCACCGTTCGGTGCTCCCTGCGTTTTCTCCCAGGCCCTGGACAACACTAATCTCCCCCTATCGGGGCAGAGCACTCCGTTTTCCTAGAGTCCCATCACGAGGGGCCATGGCTTAATTTTAAAAGGCTGTGTCCTGCATTGCTGTAATGACAGATTCAATCACCATGCTGTACACCCACACCTCCTTTGCTGTCACTTGTGGAGGACACCCGTGGTCTCCACTTCCAGATTCAGAGTTCCTGGACAAAGGACTTCATGACGAGGGCCAATGAAAATCCCTCCCCCCCACACCCAAAAAATGGAGGGCTCACATTTGAGCAAAGAAGAGCAGAAGCACTAGGAAGTGCTTGCTAAGCAGACAAGAGGGCTTAATGCTGGGACTGATGCCTTTCCACTCTGACACAGCAAAGACGCAACAGCAGGTCTTCATCTCAGCTGGGGAGGCAGTGGCCGCTACCATCCCAACGGGTGGCAGTCTGACATGGCTGGCTGTCTCTTAGGCCTTTATTCGTTATAATGTACTTGAACAGCCATGAAGAGGAGCAGCGAGAGTTGTTTCCTTGAAATCTCCTTGGGAGCTTCTGTCACAGTAATTCCTGGCATCTGCCTTTGCTTTTTCAATAGAATCCAATTGATCAGGTGGCCACCTCCTTTCTGTAACGATATTACAGAGTCCAGAAAGCAAGGGAAAAAAACTCAACATAGGAACCTCCAGGACAGATGGTGTTGATTGTTCGGTGTTTCAGGTTAGAATGCTTCCTGTTTTGCAGTCCCCAGGGTCTTTTAACAGTCTTGTACTTCCACTAGGTATAGATAATGAATGTAAATATCCATTATGGTATAGATTGGGGGGATATTTGATTAATGGACCCATAAAAATCAGAGGACTATAAAACCCTACAGGGACCCTAAACCTGAGTGCAATAGGAGCTGATTGTATTATTGAACAAATGGAGACTCGTTTGGCTCAAGTTGCTCACTTTAAAAAGAAACAGCTGTAAAATGTATTTGTAAATACTTGCGAGTGTTTGGCACGCTCATTTTTGTCTTAACTGTAGCATATATAAATACAATAAGGAATCCCCCCAGGGACTTTCTAATGATGAAAGTGTGTGTAAAAAAAGAAGGGAAAATGCCAATGTTGTAATTGTATATGCCGCATGAGTTGATTTTGTTTTCAGTCAAGGAACGAAAAATGCAACTTTTTCCAACTGGAGGTCAGGAGAATTGTCCTAGTGTACAGCCTGCAGAATGTCACCTAACCAGCTCTGCTTCTTTACCTTCCTTCATTGCAAAGAACAAAACTGCAGCTCCTGTCAAGAGCCAGAGAGAGGTCGTAACTTGCTGGCAGACCAGATGCTTCGCATGCAGAAGCCCCAGGTCCTTTTGACAGGGCTGCTGCCAATCAGTATAAACAACACCTGGCTAGACAACTCAGTATAAGGCAGCTTCATGTATTCATATGCCATTACGAGTCAAGTCATTGATTCTGTGATAAATTTGATGTTTGAGTGCCAAGAATCTAGGGTTTTAGCCATAGGTCAGTCCGAAGGGACCCATACGCAGCAGGTTTTTCTCTCTCAGCCTTCAGGCCTCCTCGCAAGTGTGTACAAGAAGGGAGGGGTCATAGAGAGAATCTTATGTGACGCCTCCTCTCCATCCTGCGCATCAGTGCAAGAAGAGACAGAAGAGGTTGCTGCTTCTCTTGAAGCTCAACTTGATATCCAAAGAGAGAAAGGGATGAAGGTACTGCTGTGCGGGGGCCATCTTGCCTCCTCTTTTTCTTTCCTCATGGCTCAAGACCAAAGGAATTGCTCGCCCTTTTTGTGGCTGTTGGAAGTGCAAGCATGCCTTCCGTGTCTGCACAGAGGGAAGGCGTGTTGGTCTTCCTGCCATTTCTAACACTTGAGAATCCTTCAGATTGTGTGGAATGTATTTTTAAGAGATGAAAATATATTTTTTCTATTTGCTAAAGTTAAGACTGGGTGGAAGGGGATTGCCAAATCCTGACGCGTGTGCGAAAGGCAGATGAGCATCTCCTGCCTTATATATTCCCTCATTTTCAGGTAAAGAAAAAGCAAGTGCAATTTAGCAAAGTATGTCTTGAGGTCCTCATTGCCAGCCCTCCAAAATCCAGCAAACTACCAGCACTGTCCCAATCACTCCTCCCCGCCCGACTCAAAATGAAGCACTGCTGTGCTCGCATGTTCAGCTGGGGGAAGGCCCCCCCCTTTCACCTTCCAAACCTGCCTGTGTACTGGATAGCGGGCGGTGCTGACCTGCCTGTTGCACAGAGCAATACACCTGCATGCTATGTTTAAACACAAACATTTGTCCGCATGTTATCTCCTGACTAATGCTGTCTGTTCTACAGTGCATAATCAATAAAGACTATTTGTATGTTATTCAAACTGCGTGAATTACTTGGAAATGACAGAAATTTGTTTCTCTCATTTATGCCAGAAAAAAAGCTGGCATAGTCCATGCATTGAAAAATGGCCAGAGTCATGTTCTTATTAACTACTTAGCCCATCTAGGGGCATCTTTAGACCTGTACAGTTGCTAGTCCTGAAGTCAAGCCCAACCATAGAATGGAAGTTACAAGAGCACTGCCTTTGTGCATATCAAATACGTCTTGCCAACTGTTTCTGGCCAACTAGCTCAAAGCGGGGGGGGGGGGGGGGGGTTCAATTAAGTTCCGTGCTCCAAACACTCAGGAAATCAGAACCATGGCAAAAAGAGCACCAGAGGTGAGAAGATGTTACAGCAGCTGTTCAGGAAAGCTAGATACAGACTTTGTTTTTGAAATTAAAATTCTCATAAATGCAAATCTGAATTGGCAATTCTTAAGGGACATAGACTGTAACTTGAAAACTTCTGTTGAATGAAAAAATAATATAATAACAATACAAATATGGGCCTCAATCACAAGTTACTGGAGGCTTCAATCCAGTTCTTTCTTGAACTGGCCTTTGATATATGTTAAATGGTAATTATAATACAAAAACTGAATGACAGTTCCTTCAGACGCCCAGTTCAAACCCTGCCTACAGCAACTGTGATTATATCCTATAAGCTTCTTAGCAAGAACTTCTAACCACAATTATTCCAGATTTAACACATCTACACCTTTCCATATCTTAAGTGGCTTGGCAGAATGTCAGTACTTAAATGCGATACATAAAAAGAAGGAAATGGGTTAGCAACCTCTGTTCCCTTCCTTCCCACACATATCTGAGTGGGATTTGTAACCTTTGAGTTGTACAATGAAAAAAAGCAGGGCATGTTTTCTATCAGTCCAACAAAAGGAAGTCTTTTGGTATGTTTTGGTTTTTTGGGGGGGGGGGGGAGTTGTTGTTTTTTTTGAAAAACAACAGCTTTATTTTTGCTTTCCAAAAACACAATTGACATAAGACAATCTTACCTTAATTGCTAACAGCAGCTAAACTTACAAGAATTCTAAACCCTGAAAAGAAAGCTAACCAAATATATGTCTGTACCAAAATAGTTCTCACTCAAAAGATACCAGGTGCCTATTCCCGGGGGCCACAAGCATCACTCCAGTAAACTGGAACTTGGCTGGAACTGCATTCTCAGATGATGGATCTCTTTGGAAGGCTGTCCAAGACTGATGCTGCTTTTGACTCCTAGTTATGCCTTCTCACTGGTGGTGCTACGGACCAGGAAGTCCACTTGCTTCTAATGGCAAGTTCACGCAAGGCATTCTGAGCCCACCTTATTCTGTCAGCATCGTTACATGGCAGAAGCCTGCTGTGCAGTTGCCACAGGGGTAGCCTGGCGAGGGAGAGTGTACATTGCGCCAAGAAACTGGTCTGCAATGCGCCCGGCTTCTCTCAGTCCACTCAGCAGAGCTCCATGAACAGTTGCAGGATAGTTGCGAATCGTATGTTCTCCAGCAAAGAACAGGCGAGGAATTGGCTAGAAAAGAAACAAGGTGGCATGTTACAAGGCCCGCTTTATACCTGTTCAAGGTATCAAAGCTCAGGCAGAATAAGAAAGGCTGTAGGAAAACTGTGTTTCTAGCAGTGCCCCCTTTCCTCAGGTCCCAACAGGCTAGAGATCCAACATGGGAGGGATTTATTGCTTCTGCAGAAGCAAGCACGTTTTCATAACAGCTGCAAATCTGTCAAGCATCCCATAGAAAGGCCTGCAGAGAAGAGGCCAGAAGTATTTTCAGGGTTCATGTTGATAGGCGGTTATACATATTCTCTTGTTTCCCACCCTGCATCATCTAGGGAAGCAGAGTACAAATTTAGCCACAAATTGCCATGAATCTGAAAACAGGCTCACCATCAAAAGCAGGTTTGAACTGCTTGTGCCTGGACAGCATGATTTAGCCCAAGTATACTGGAGCTGGGCTCTTTGAGTGGTTCCTCAAGTAGACAGCAGTCCCCATCCGCATCCCCTCTCACGTAACTCTTTATGATGTGGCTTAGATTTAGCCTCATGTTCTGCTTCCACAATAACCCACACGTGTGAGGCTTTTTCCTTCATTCTCCCATTACTCAGGCATCATCACCTTATATGGACTGAAACCCTACAGGGCATGAACCAGGCCACTTCTATGGCCTGTAGAGCACCCGCTATCTGACACTCTTAAATGTTAACAAACATTTCTTTGAAAAACAAAAAGCGATTAAAAACCCCAGAGTCGAGATAAGTAGAAAATGTCGATTCAAGACAGACTGATGGATATCTCCAAGAAAGAGGAACTTGCAAGCTTCATAAAGAAGCTGAAGTACCTCAGATTAAGCTAAATGAAACACTCAGGGCAACACATGCCAGAGACAAATCAAGGTTTCTGAATTACTGCTTTCTTGTGCAGTAATTCAGTGCCACTTTCAAGTTTTCACCTGGGGAGCTCCTGGAATGGCTGGTCCGGGAGTAATTGGCTGAGCCATCAAGTCATAATCATTGCCTGAAGAGCCAGCTGCTACATAGGAATAGGATCCTCGGGCCCAAGGGTCAGCCCGCCAGCGAGATACCACCGTCTCCTTGGGCTTAGGATAAAGCAGAAAAGCAAGTTAGTGCACTGGAAGTGTTTGAGGCCATTAACAGAGAACTACTCCAATTCAGTCCCTGGTACCAGGAGCAGTGATCATCTGTGCTGCATGCACAGGCATACTAAAGAGGCTTGGCACTGGGCTGAAAAAGCCCCCTAACACACAGGAAACCTCAAAAGGTCACAAATATTTGACCAAGGGTTCCCCCGACAACTGTGAGACCTTCAGTCACTTAATACCCAGAGAAGTCTGCTTGGTTTATAAATTTGTACAAATTGAAACAAACTTCCTCAAGTTGATTAGACATCTTCAGAGTCTGCCATAGCTTTAAGGATGCCAGAGCATGGAACCCAGTCAGCCACTCTCAGTATTATTTCCACTTGCACCCCACTTTTCCTTTCACATTAGAATTCAAATCGAACAGCATTTTTTAAACTAAAAAAGGGGCCGCAGTTCAGAATTGCAGCTTGTGCAAAATGTGGCAGTCAGATTAGTAATTGCAAACAGACAGGCAGAACATTTAACTCTCATTCTGGCCTGCTTGTTCTAGCTGCCTAGATGCTTCTGAGCCCAATCAAGGTGCTGGTTTCAACCTATAAGGCCCTTCATGGCTTGCGAATGCAGTTTCTGACAGAATGCCTCTTCCTATATACCCAGACACCACTCTCAACATTTGAGACCTTCCTCTAACCACCAAGGGAGCCTTGGCTGGTGGCAAGGAGAGCCTTCTTTGCAGTGGCTGCCCAACTGGCATCCACCTTACTATCTATTTAGTTCTGGGTTAACAAGACCCTCTTTGCTGAGGCATTTACCAACTCGAAACAGCACATGGAGGTGGAGTAGGGTCTAGCACAGTGATGGTGAACCTTTTAGAGACCGAGTGCCCAAACTGCAACCCAAACCCCACTTATTTATCGCAAAGTGCCAACACTGCAATAAAACCTGAAAACTGAGGTTTTAGTTTAGAAAAAACAACTCACAGCCAGTCCAAGCAAATAGATATATAACCTTGGCAGCGCACTGACTGGCCACGCGAAAGCTCGGACGAGTCGCGGCTCGTGATGTCATTGCCTGGCGCTGCTACTCCTTTCCGAGCATGTGCTGTTGTCCAATGCTCGGCTGCTGGGGCGATGCTGGGGGGAGTCGGCTTGTGTGCCAACAGAGAGGGCTCTGTGTGCCCACTGTGGCACGTGTGCCACAGGTTCGCCATCACTAGTCTAGCAGGTTCTCAGAAGACCTAGCAGTATGGACTGGACTTAGTTGTTTAATTAAGTAAGTAAAAAAATGTGATTTTGATTTTTTAATGTAAAGTTATAATGTTTGATTACTGTATTATTCTCTAGGGTATTTCATTATTTTTATGACTGCTGTTCACTGCCCACAGAGTTTTGGCTATTGGGCAGTATAGAAATTAAACTAGGAACAAGCAGACAACAAGAATACTAGCATTAAAGCGATACGTTAAATAACAAATTATCCAGCAGTGAAGAGTTCTCCTACATATGTGGGTCTAACTTAACCTTCTTGACATTAGTTATGAACATAAACCAAGTTCTTTTACATGGAGGTGCAAGGTAAACATCAAGTCCCCCACATACATCACAAAGTGGTAAAGGTCTCACACCAGCGCTAATGTGAGAGGGTTGCAATTGTGCATGAGTGTTCAACAGCTAGCAAGCAAGCAAGCACACACCTGATTTCTCTGTCGCAAGTTTCTGCAAGAATGCAGTAAAAGCTGATGCAATCCAAGAGTTCCGTTGTGGCACAAGCAGCTCTGTCCAAAGTGCACGGACGGCATGCAGGCACCATCTGCCTGGACCGACTGGCTTCTCATCACGAGACTGGCCAGCAGCACTACTACTTCCATGCATCACTGAGGAAATGGTGTGATGCTGCCCGTGCCTCTTGGTGCCAAGGCCTGCCCGCATGTGCAGAACAAAAGCAGGGACACCCACAGAGGGATAAAAGGGATGGGCAGACAGGAAGAAGCTGCTCCTTCCAGTTGATGGCAGAGAGCAGCAAAAACAGCCTGAAGAAGTGAATCTCCCTGCAGCCCATGTCTGGCCCCAGTTAGGTCTCTCAGAGGTTTACCCTATTAAAAATATAGCGGTGGCTATATCTATAACAGTAGATTTCCCTCACTTCAGCAATGGGCCCTCTCTTTTGCCCTATTTTGTCCAAAAATCCCTCTTTTTAACAATGCTGAAAAACTTATGATAAAGAAAACAGGGCAAAGTAGATTGCTTTATCGTGTAGTGGCTTGAATGCCACATCCCACCGCTTGCTGATTAAATGCAGGATTATCAGGGAACTCAACAAAGACGGGTTCTCTGCAAAGACGGAACTAGAAAGAACTCAGCACGGTACCTGAGGGACAGCACTGCTGC